GTGTGTGTGTGTGTGTGTGTGTGTGTGTGTGTGTGTTACTGACAGACTGCTGCTCATAAGCTAATGAGTATTTTCAGCCCAACTGCCCTCCTGCTCATCCACGGGATAGAATTAAACTTATTTTATATTAAAAACGTTTTATTAAAAAAAAACTAAAAACTTTTATTTACAAACATATTTCTCACAGAATCATAGAAACACATTCAGCTCAGTTTTATTTTTTGAAATCATCTTAATGCTTTTGTCTTCTTATGCGACTTTTAGTTAGCCTTCTGACAGTTTTAGTTTCTAGCTCAGAGGAGCCCAAAGTGGGGCCCGAGGGCCAAATTTGGCCCGCCAAGCCATTTGATTCGGCCCACCAACAGTTGCCAAAGTTACAAGGTTGGAAGCTGTTATCCTATAGGTAGAAACGCAGTATTTCCAGGGCTGAAGGTAGTTTTCATTCATGGTGCTGATTTTATCTTTGATTTATGAAACATGAAACGACAACAAGAAATATTTAGATCAGATTTAACCACACATGTAGATTTGCACACTTTATAAGGCCACAAAAGCTCATATTTTATCAATTTATGAAATGTCCCATGAGCCTTTGCTACTTGAGCGTATGGCAGACTTTCTCCAGGTGCACAGACTAAAACTAAAGAGGGCCATTGCATTGCTTAATCGTTAAAAATAAAGGACTTTACTTTAAAAAGTATTTGTATTTCATGTGTTATAATACTGCATTTAGCCCACAGCCCTGGATAGATTTTCATTTTGGCCCTCTCGGGGAAAAAGTTTGGGCACCCCTGTTCTAGCTACTTTTCTGCTACTTTTAGCTTCTAGCTACTGTTCCATTAGTTTTAGCTTTTAGTTAGCTATGCAATACTTATAGCTTTTTACTAGCTTTTTATTACTTTTAGTTGGCCTTCTGTTACTTTTAGCTAGCGTTTTTGTTATTTTCAGCTAGAGTTTTTATACTTTCAGCTTTAATCTATGTAATTTCTAGTTTTAACAAACTTTTAGCTTATAACTAGCCTTCTGATATTTTTGCCAGTTTTTTGGTTATTTCATCGAGCAGATATCAGGACCTGATGACTCCTGAACTTCTTTTTAATAGAAGCATGACATATATTTATACAATCTAGTTTAAAAAGTTTGTTTTTACATCTCTGTGAGACAGAACAAGAATGAACTGTAATCAAGTTTTTTTCTGCTCCCTTGTTGTTTGTTCAACATGTTTGGTTCTTCAAGTTGTGTTTTTTCATACTTTTAAACGTGCGCAGAACTGACTAACACAAACAACAGAAATATCTGCCACTGTGCGTTATTTTCTGTAAAACAACATCAAGTGCAATAATCCAGCTTAGGTTTTGGATCAGAACTTTGATAATTTGTCTGTGTTTCCTGCTAAAAGCAGCAGAATTTAATGAAAAAAAAAAGCCAACACTCACATCCTGGAACATTCTGCCACTTTCACGTTGCACAATATTTAATCTGCTTTAAGCTCTTATCACTTCATTAATTATGTTCTTCTATAATTTAATGAAGTTAGAATTTTCCACAGATTAAACCTCTGACAAGTGAAATAACTCTGGATGTCAATATTTATTATATGAATGTTGTTTTTACTCAAAACTCCTGATCACTGTAATAAAACAAATACAGTCAATATATTTGTGCAACACTGACATGGCATTCAGTTGTTTTTCTCGTTATTTTTCTGCACATTTTTTTGCAAACTAACTGTTTCTCCATACTTTGTGCTGTTTTAACCAATCGTGTTTGGCTCATTCAGAAAATTGGAGGTTATAGTCTTTTGTACTTAAAAATCGAATTACCTTACAGAAACACTGAGATCTCTTTAATTACTTCAAAAAATGTTTTCTCAATTCTGCTTTAACAGCTTTTTTGGGTTCTTACACTAATTTTAGCATTTAACTTCCCTTCTGCTACTTTAAGCTTCAAGCTTGCCTTGTTTTTAACTAACCTTACATTCAGCATCTTATAGCCTTTTGATGCATTTATCTTTCAGCAAGCATTTAGCCACTTCTAGATTTTAGCTGAACTTGTGCTAATAGTTTTGAGCAGGCATTTTTTTAGCCGATMCTTTTTTGTTTCCCTTTGCTGCCATTAACTAGCCTTCTGCTACTTTATGCTTTTAGTTAGCTTATTACTTTAAGTTTTTAGCTAGCCTTGTGCTACTTTTAGCTAAACGTTTGTTGCTTTTAATGTGAGCTTTATTATTTGCACCTTCTTTAGCACGAGGTTTGCAATTTTTAGCTTCCATCTAAACTTTTAAACATTTGGTTTCAAACTACCATTTTGTTATGTTTAGTTTTCAGCTAGCCTTTTGCTGCTTTTAGTTTTTAAATTGATTTATTCTGAGACTAGAGTTTATTAAAAGTGAGAGGCTGATAAAACACACAAAAAAATTAATTGACCTAAATGGCTTCTTATTATTCTCTCAGCATTCTCTGCATTTCACCAAACGAGAGATCTACACACATGATTACCTACCATTTAAAGGGATAATGAACAGAGACAAAAAGGCAAGCAGGGTCTTTATGATTAAATACTTTATACAAACAACATATTTATTTTAAATCATGACAAAAGGTGACAATAGATGAGATTTTTTAAGGATTTCCAGGTCATTTTTAAATACATTAATCTGAATGCCCTGCTGTGTGTGTGTGCATGCGTGCATGCGTGCGTGCGTGTGCGTGCGTGTGTGTGTGTGTGTGTGTGTGTGTCAGTAACAGTCCACTATGACCTCCTGGCCCGGCTGGGAGTCCAGGTGAACGTTTGCTCTGCTGGCGGTCAGGATGTCCTGCAGCAGGGACCGGGGGGAGTTGTGAACGTGGTCGCTGCTCTGAGTCAGGACAGCCAGCCTCTCGTCTAACGGCAGACGCCTCAASGCCTCGTACACCCCGACCCGCACGGCCCGATCTTCCTCCTCCTCATCACAGCGGTCTTCAGAACCGAGCCCGTCGGCTCCGTTGACACAGGCGGTGGTTCTCAGCATTCTTCTCACCTCCCGGGCCCAGCCGGAGCAGGGCAGTTCGCAGGACGCTCCGCCGTCTGTCACCAGGGCATCGCGTCCATCCAGAGGACAAACTGTGTCTCTGAGTCTCACCAGCAGCTGACAGGCCTTCAGCCCAACGGGTCTGTCGCAGTCCACCAAACCACTCAACAAGACCGAGAGAACTCCTCGGTCCACCAAACTGTTCAACGTGGTGACCGAACCGGACCCCGCGTCGAAGGTTGTGTTTGACGCCGTGGCGTAGGGGTGAGACCGACTGTCTGAGGCCCGGGTCATCAGCAGCTCCGCCAGCTCCAGAGTGTGAACCTTGACCTCCCAGTCCAGGTCTGCGCTGCCCCGCGAGAGAACGGAGGGGACGGACTGCGTGAGGAGCGAGCAGGAGGAAGGTGAGGGGCACGAGGAGAACCAGGAGATGAAGAACTGAACAACAGCCCTCCTGGAGAACCCCTCTGTGTCCTCAGAGAGAATCTTCAGCAGGCGGGTCACGATGTCAGCCTGCGGAGACCCCCACCCAAAAATAAAAAACTTAGTTAAAATCTGAAAACAAGCTTCTGGATCCTTCAAGGGGAGAAGTCTCCGCCCACCTCCTCTTGACTGAGCGCCGCCCCCTGCTGCCAGGCGGGAGCCAGAGTCCGGGCCAGAGCCCAGACCGAGCTGGCCCTCACGTAGCTCTCGGGGTCCCGCAGCGCCTCCTGGAGGAGAGGGACGGCGATGCGGSGGCCGGCTGGCAGAAACTCGGGCGCAGCAGCGAGGCGCCCCAGAAACTCCACGGTGGAGTCTCGGACCTCCCAGCGCACGTCGCAGACACGCTTCCTCAGCACCTGCAGGAGATCTGAGCGAGACGAGCGTTACGACACGCTCCCTGAATGAGCCGGCGCTGCGCCGCTACCGCTGGAATATGGTACAAGGAAGCTTCTGAGTAATTCTACAGCTCAAAATTCAGCTTCTACATGGTCAGAAATGTATGATTTGACACMAAGATCMWTAATATAGGACAAATATCTGCAATTTTATTGCAAAAATGAATTTATGATAGCCAAAATGGCAGCCATCTTGAAAAAAGGCTGCCATTTATAATTTTAAGTGGTTAATTTTTTTTTCAAAAAAGTAATCCCCAAGGAGTATTTGTGCCAATTTTGTACCTTTTCTGAGCTGCTCTGTCACATCCAAGAGGTCCGAGCGAACACCGACCCACTTCAGCAGAACCTGGTACGACTTCTGGATCACCTAGCAAACACAAACAGAGCAGGTTTAATTTTTCCATTTTTCTCACCTGTTTTCCTATAAATCCCAGTGTGAYACAAACTTTACACGCAAAGTAAAGAACACACACAAGTCTCTGCTATCTTAGTATCTATGTTGGGTTCATTTAGCACAAGTGTTCTGTTAGCAAAACATCTCATAAACCAGTAGGTGGATTTTAATGAGACTCCTGAAAGTTATCATTAAATCAACAAATTAAACTTTGGAGTCAACCTCATCCAATATGGCCGCCGCAGATAAAATATCCACCATTTGTTTCCTCCTCCTCTCGGGCCAAAAGCATAAAAACCCACCAGTTGTTTTCTGACCGAGGCTCAGTTATTTGTTAGGCAGCAAAAAGCTGAAATAAATAAATAAATAAATAAATAAATAAATAAATAAAAATAAAAAAGAGGCGAGCAGCAGGTCTGCCTCAGTAAGGGAG